CACTGCGGCCTGCCGTGTTTCTCCGGGCGCCGATACCCTGGCCCTCGGGGCGGGGCCCTGGCCCTTGCGGCACGCCATGCCCTCCGCAGTCAGCGCGCCCTCGGTCGTCGCATCCTTTTCATTGTCGACAACCTTCCATTTGATCTTGGGGCTATCAAGGGGCTTGCCAGATCGGAGTTTCCCTAGCCGTGCCTTACCGTGTTCGCGCGTCTATCTTTGGTCACTGGATGTCGCTCTGTTGCGAGATGGGCCCCTACCGAGAGGAATGTCAGCGATGCCCCCTCCCGCGCGGGATGCGCGGCTGGTTCATTGGTTTCCGCGCTGTCAGGCGCTATCCCTCGTCGCCCTTTTCGGTTCACCAGGCCCCCCGCCTGGGGCCCCGCCCGGGCTGCCCTTGCCCGGCCAGCCCGTCGCGCGGGCGGCGGCTGATTCCTCGCGCCCGCCCGGAGCCTGGGCCCCCAGGGCTTGGGCGGCTGCAGGCCGCGAGCCGCTTTGGGAACAGGCCGGCACTGAGCAAGGCGCGCAGGGCGTCAGCGGCCTCGGCGGCGGCGAAGGGTCGGCCCCCGCTCGGCGGGCTTTCGCCCTTGGAGCGGCTGACCTTCTGCCCTTTCCACGGAGGTCCTGCGCCGCTCGCAGCTGAAGCTGTTCCTGAGCCACTGTGCGGCGCTGGCGCGGGACTGGAGCGACTGGCCCACCCTCGACGGCCTCCGGGCCCATTTCTTCAACGGCCCGTACTTGGAGGGGCCGGGGCCAGACGTCGGGAGCGGCCCGTGCCCCGCCATGGCGCAGCCCCTGCCGGGCCCAGGGCGCTCGGGGGCCGCCGCGCTGCCGCGGGCCTCGCGAGCAGCGCTGGGCCGGAGGCGCCGCGCCTCGCCATGCACACGGTTGCCGGTGCCTGGGGCGGCCATGGGCGCGATCGTCGGCCAGCTGACCTACAGCGGCCCCCTGCACGCGGCCCTGCTGACCGCGGTCGCTCACGCGCGCTAGAGGCCGCGGGAGGCGACGCAGGCGCGCGCGCCACCTCGTCGCCCCCGGAGAGATGGCGGGGCCAGTCCACCAGCACTGCACTGGCTAATCTTGCACAGCTGCAGGCCAGGGAGCCGCGCCACGGGGTAACCTCAGAGGACCTGGCTCTCGGCCGCCCCCCCCCAGCCGAGCAAGCACGCCTCCGCGGACTGTGGGCCGCCTCCGCGTCGGGGGCACAGCGCGCCAAGGACGCTCGGCTCCTCTTCACCCTCGCGCCGGAAATGTTCGTCTACGGCAGCCTCGCGCTGAACCCCTTGTCGGAGCTCCCACGCAGCGGCAGCGGTCTGCTGCCAAGTGCCCCGCCCCAGGCAGTGGCGGCGCTGTCGCACGGGCTGCCCGCGCCGCCGCCAGCTCGAGCTGAGCCGCCGCGGGGCGCCACGCAGTTACGCAGTGCCTCAAGCGCGCCCTTGCCTCGCAGCTGCGCCGGGCCACTCGCGCGCGCCGCTTCGCATTTCTGGAGTTGCCCCCAGGATCGGCCCAAGTGGGCCAGTAGAGCTTCTGGACACGCGCGCCTGCCACTCGACGTCGAGAACGGGGCTCTGGAGGACCACCTGAGCCCAGCCTTCTGGAGCACCAAGCGCGGGTGGCTTCAGGGGCGGGTTATCGTCGGCGTCTGGCTCGGCACTCCGCGCACCATTTGGCCTCGGGCCCTTCGGAAACCTTTCAGGGGCATCCAGGCCCCCATGGCCCCCCTGGCTTCAACGAGTCAGAGCTCGCTAGGCCCCAGGTTGGTAACGACATTTTCAAGCTCTCAGCGAATGCGATCAGCACCTGCGCCTGAATGAGATCCCCGTGTACCTCGAGAACCCGCGGCTGCCGTCATGCGGCATGCCCCCCTTCTGGTTCGGGGGCGGACAGAACCCCCAACAGTGACACGTCGATTAGTGAATTGTCCGTTTTGGGCTCTCGAGAGGACGCCGCGGCCGTTATTTCCCAGGTTTGCGCCCGCCAGGTTTGGGCCTCAGGTCGTTTTCACTAAACCACGTTTTATTAGAGGGAGGTCTGCCCATCCCCGATTGGTTCCTCTTCTCGACCTCCCCGAGCGTCACGCGCACATTCTGGCGCGTGTCGCTAGGAGGCTCCGTGGAGGAAGAGAACCAGAATAGCCATGCGGGGAGCTGGCTTCCACGCTTGTCTGCATCAGCGGTGCACAGGACGCAAAGGATTGTGTTCCGAGGCTTGCAAACTTCATCTCGCGCTTGAAGGCGCCGACCCTGCAACGGGAAAAAAGCGCACGTCAGGAACATCGAGAACGAGGTGCGACACCGCGCGCCTTGGACGTGGCCTCTCGTCTCCCGCTGGATCCGGCTCGAGAGGCGCCGCGTGCGCCAAGACCCCGGCGGCGCCTTCCACGAAATCGTCGCCACCGCGGGGGTCGACCAGGGGTGCCCTTCAGCTTCGCTCCTCGCATGCCTGTGGGTCGCCCCGGTGCAAGACACCCTTTCCGAGCCGTCGACCGCGGCAGGCCCCCAGGACGACGCCCACCTCCTTGCGCCCCCGGCTGGCCTGGAGGGGGCCCTAGAAGCCGCAGCTCCTGCCTTCAATTCAGGGGGGGGGGGGGAACACGCGGACACAATTAATCGTCGATCCCCCAGACAATATGGGAAAATATTGGAAGTGGGGGGGGAAAACACACATCCAGAAAATATGGGAAAATATTGTGGATCCTATTACTTGTTTATTTATTTGCGTGCCCCAGGGCCCCTTCATCAATGCCGCCGGGAGCAAACTGAAGCTGCGGAAGGGTTCCGTCCGGTCGTTGGGGCAGTGCGACGTCGGGACATTTGGACTCCGCAGGGTCGAGGTGCCCCCTAGTCTTGACAGCCGCTCGCGCGCCTGGCGGCCACGGAAGGCGGGGCCTCGGCCCTCCATTTCGCAGACCAGCAGTGCCAGGACGTAGTGCAAGAACGGCGAAGGACCATGACGCGGCTCTCTGTCCTGCAGGTGGCCGGCCTCTCTGTCTACCATGCTGTTTCTCTCGCCCGAGTGGCGACTATTGGGGGCGCGGTCGGCCTTCAACAGTGCCAGCACCTGACGACTGGGCGCGCGCTCGACTTGGTTGCTGTCTTGCTTGATGGCATATTCGACCTCATGGGGATTGATCACTCCGAGGTCGCAGCCGCACTGCATCGTCAGCGGTGGTTCCTTCCATGGAAGGCGGGCGGCTATGGCATGGCGAGCGCGCGCGCCAGTTCCTGGCCGAACTTCGTCGCCTCCGCGCTCCGCGACTTGCCGGGGAACGCGGCCACCGTGGAGCTCCCCAGCGCAACAACACCCCTTAACAAGGCACCTGCTCCACGTGCGTGCGTCGAGACGGCCGTCGCAGATATGGCTGCGCAGGGCGTCTGCCTCCCTGCCGCGCCTGACGAAGTCCTGCGCGTCGCCTCGCCGAGTTCAGCGTCCGCGTGGCGTTCCGAAGTGGTCACTCGCATCGGCTCGCTCATTAGCAGCGGTCCCACGGAGGATTACGTCACCACGATGCCGGAGTCTGGCGGCAGCGGCGGGGGCTCGTGGATGGCTGTTCCCACGAGGCCCGAGCATTGTCTCACCGACCAGGGGTTCGTCACCAGCACCCGCCTCCGCATTCATCTGGACGCCAATTTGCAACAGCCGGGCCACGAGCTGCATTGCGAACACAAAAGGGGGGAGGAATGCGGGCTACCAGGTGTGCAACCAAGTGGTGGACCCTAAAGGGTTGCACAACCTCTTGTGCAAGAGGGGTGGCTTCGTGGTCAAGAGACACGACGCCATCCGAGACCTCATCGCGAACATGTTGACGGGATGTTGGGCACCCCCGCGCACTGAACAGCACCCGCCTGCAGAACTCACGGATGGCCGGCGCCCCGACGTCGATTGTTACGACAGGAACCTCGTGCGCCAGTATTTGCACATAGTTGCCATTACCTCGCACACGCGGGCTTTCCCAGGCAGCGTTGCCGGGCACCGCCAGAGCGCTCTGATCGAACGGGAGGAGAGCTCCAAACGGGGAATGCACCACACGCTGAGCCTCACGCCAGTGGTCATGCCCCACCTGGGACGGTTCGGCGGCGGCTGCCAGAGCGTCGTCAAGCGGCTCGCCTACGGCCTTGACGAGCGCCGCCGGTCTGTCGCCATCGACGCCTGCTACCAACGGCTGGCGACAACGCTGCAGAGATCCAGCGTTGCCTTGTTGGCCTCTGCGGCGCCGCTGATCCCTTAGCCCCTGAGCCCGCAGTTCGCCCTCTCCTCCCTCCCCCTCCTCCCCTCTTCCTCCTGCTTCCTCGCACTGCCTGCTGGCTGGCCCCGACGCCGTTACGACAGATTTCAGTGATTTGTGTTGCCCCCGTGTCCTTGTCTTGCGCTGCTTCGCTGTTCTCGTTCCTGGCGCTTTCGCGATGCCCGCTGCCTCCGCGTTTCTTGGCTTTGGGCCGTCTGGGCTCTCAGGGCCTGGCCTCCCTTTGTCGGGGAGGGTGTTGGATTCGCTGTAGAAGAGTCCCCTGCGGCGCAGCATCGTCTCGGCCCCGAAGGGCTAGCGAGGGCAGTCAGACGTGGCCTGGCGATCTTCACACGCCTGCCCCAGCGGACATCCACCCTTACGCTGGGCGGGCGCTGGGGCTGCGACAAGAACAAGAGGAGGAGGAGGAGGAGGAGGAGGAGGAGGAGGAGGAGGAAGAGGTGGAGGAGGAGGAGGAAGAGGAAGAGGAGGCGGCGCTTCCACGCGCGGCGGGGGGGAAGGGGGGGGGAGATGAGAGTTGACCCAGGTTGCCCCGAGGGGCGCGAAGATAACCGCGCGTTGCGCGTCGCGGCCGGTGCCTCCGGGCTATCCTTTTCCCAGGGAGGCGGCGCGAGGGCGCGAAGATAACCGCGCGTCGTGCATCGCAGGGCGCGATGAGCGAAGTCAGCAGTAAGGGGTAGCAGTCAGAGGCGAGGAGTGAGGGCGAAATGACCAAGGCGATGAGTGAGTCCCGCAGGGCCCTATCTGAACCTCCCGCAAGGACGGCAAGTGCAACATGATCCAGAATGCCAATGTTGCCTCTGTCAAGTTCTGCGGCCCAGGCAATGGACGAGGGAAAATTAAGCATCCCCCCTCTTGGCCTTCATTATCCCCGCGCTTGCCCTTGCCTTTTTTGTTGGCAAAAGGCAAGCTGACACTTTCGCGAATGACCTGCAGCGAGCACCACGACTACAAGGCACAGGCGAACGGCAGCTTTGGGAAAGTGCTGGGAAATGCGATGAGGGGAGTGTGGATGGAGTTGGAGAGCGAGTAGCAGGAGGAAGAGGATGAGGAGGAGGAGGAGGAGGAGGAGGAGGAGGAGGAGGAGGAGGGTGAGGAGGAGGAGGAGGAGGAGAAGGAGAACGAGCAGGAATGGGAGTGGGGAACGAGAAGGAGAAAAAGATTGGAGAAAAAGATTGAACTGGGGATGAAAGCATGCCCTATCCGAGACCACCACCCCAGCCAACTCGCCGCGACTGCGATACCACGCGCCGCTTCGGCGCCACAGCTCACCACCGATGGCGCAGCAACACTGCACGAGTAGGCGTTGAGGCGCCCCTGGGCACCTCCCTGGGCCATCCTTCCGCCCCCCTCCCTGAGAGACATTCGTCGCAGGCCTAGAGGTTGGCACCAACACCAGAATCGGCGCTGTGCCTTCACCGAGGGAAGAAGGTCCCGATCTCGGCGATGGTGGTAATACTCTGGCTTCCAAGGTGGCCGAAATATTACCACCAACACCGAAACCTAGGATCATCTTCCCCCTGGAGGCAACCCCCTGTGTTGGTGTTGGTGCCCATTTCCAGGCCTCCAAATTCGGGTCGGACCACAGGGGTGGATAGGGAAAGGTGGGGTTACAACATCTGCTGCGTGGTGTTGGTTTCAGCCCCGCCGACGGGCGCTTCTGTGGCGCCGGAAGGCGCCGGGAAGACGAGCTGCGTAAGCTGATTCGCTAACCCACCCCCCCTGCCCTCCATGTCGTCCGATCTGAGACACGCCCATGTATGGCAAGTCTCTCGTGGCACGCTACCGGGAAGTGAGGGCCGTCCGTTCACGCGCGGGTCCACTGACAAGAGCGCGCGTGTGTCTGGCCGCGCCAGGGCGAGCAGACGCCGCTGCATGCATTTTGCTGTTTTTCCTTCTGGCTTTCAGTCGGGCGTGTCCCTCTACAGAAGGAATATTCAAACATAGAACAAAAAATAGTATGAGGACGACTTGTTGACTACTTTTGATGTGTTTGCATGTTTTTGATGTTTGTTTGAACTAATTCTGGATGGGATGGGAGGTCGAAGGGACAATATCCGAAGTACAAGGGCTCGTCGCCAAACTCGTCCAGAAAGTCTTCCAGGTCAACAGACAGGTCGGGTCCAAGTCGCGCCGCTTGACCAGCAGAAGGTCCAGCGTGAGCCCGGGGTGGGCGGGCCCCGGCTTTGGGACCCCGCGGCGTCGGGGGGGGGCGCCTGAGGCGTCGGGGGGGGGGGTCTTGCCATCAGGGTCAATGTCAGAGGTGGGCAGGTTCAGGGGGGAAAGCATTGGCCCCCAATCGCCCATGCATCGCCGATAGGGGCCTGATGGCCCACCCCACCCAGGAGCTTGAGGTTTTGCTATCGGGGGTCTACTGCTGATCTGTCGGCGGTGTATCGCCCGTTCCAGGTCGATGCTTCCCCCCACGAGCTGGTCCCCCCCTGTCGTGGCCCCTCAGGGGTGGCGGATCGGCAGAGGTTTCGCTATCGGGAGCCCAACCGCCGATCTATGAGCGGCACAGAGTGGAGTGATGACACTAGGGGGCGATATATCATGGCAGGGGCCATGATATCTCCCAGATCTTATGGCCCTCTCTTCTCCTCTCAATACGTCTCCTGGCCCCCCCTGGCCAGGGGATCGCAAACATGAATCAAGGGGGCGTAGATTAGCGACGGGTCCCATTTCCATCGGAAATCGCGGATTTCCGCCGCCGAACGAGGCGGCACCGGCTGCATGTCGGGAAGGGCACCTCCCCCGATCCATGGATTTGGCGACCGCGCGCCAAATCCATGGATCGCTAATCCATGTTTGCGCGCCCCCGACCTGGGCCGTGGACATGCATCGGGCCGCGAGTTGCGACCCCTCCCCCTCCTGGACGCCCCCGAGTTCTTTGCCCCTGGCAGAGTGGCCGGCGGGGCCCCCCGCCTTGGCCCCACGCGTGGCGTTGAGCCGTCGGCGCCTGCGGCGGGCGTCGGCCTTGGCGTGCGATCGCCTCTCTGCAAGGAGAGTCGGCGCCTTCGGCGGGCAGCTGCCTCTTGAGCAGGGACCGACCGTCCCAGCAGTCCTATAGGCCTACCACGAAATATTCTTAGAACCCAAAAACGTTATAAGAAAAAGCATGTTCTGAGAACATGATCCTGATGTGTTCAAAACAAGACAGCCCCAGCCAGAAATGTTGTAAGAGCATTTTGTGCAAACCATATAAGGTTCTTAGAACATTGTTTGGTAGGCCTATAGGCGAGCTAAGACGCTTCGCCACTGCTCCAGCCTCGGTTGAGGATCCTCGGTCCGCAGCAGCCCCTCGCTCCTGTCCGCGCCCGGGGAGGCTATGACACTCTACGCGTGCAGAGCCGATGCGCCACGAGCATCGGGTGCGCGTTAGGGTCGTGTGTTCCCGAGGGGCCGGAAAGCAAGATGGTGTTGGTTGATGAGCGCGGTTGAAGATCGACGAAAGGTAGATTCAGTGGCCATTGGGTACCGTCAGCTCTCAGGTGTTATCCATCTCATATACACTGTTTGCGGCCCATACAGTTGCTCCCGTCCCCACTGCGCGCACCAATCACGGAGACGGTAGGCATGATGGGCCCAACGCTGTGGGCAGGGGATCTGTAACGAAGTTGCGTTTACATCCATAACTTGTTTGACTCTACAGTGGGCCAATGTACAGTCGAACATATGTTGCTGAAACTAGGAATGCATATAACGCACTGCTTCTATGTCCTTCCCCGTTGAAATGTGAAGCCGAGCTCGTGGGTTTAGGCAAGGGAGGGTCGCGAGACGCGAGGGGAGGGGAGGAGAGGAGAGGGGAGGAGGATTAAGTCGGGCCTGTCCCTCTACAGGAAGAACCTTCAAGAAAATAAGAAATAATAATCTGGGGACGATTTGCCTAACATGTTTTGATTATGTATGTTTATGTTTTGATTATGTGTGATGTTTCCTCAAAAAAAACGGCCTGTAGGGGGACATGCCCGACCTAAGATTGGGCCTTGCCGACAGATCGTCGAGCACAGCGCGAGCGACTACACGACCAATTGCGAGGTCATCAGCACGGCGGGCACCGTCGTCGACGGCTGGCTCGGCAGCTTCACGCTGAGCTGCTGAGCCTGGGCCGCGCGGCACACCTCCCTGAGCATGGTCGCCTCCACCTGTCAGCCTTGCGCAGAGGGGGGTGGGGGGAGGGGGGAGGGCCTCTTAGAAGCACCCCTGCTTCTCGGAAGGCGCGGGCCTTATCTGCAGATGTAAGGCCAGTTCCTTCTAAGAAGCAGTCTCCTTCTAAGAAGCCCTCCCCCCTCCCTCCACCCCCTTGTGCGCGCCGCCAAAAAAGGTCGGCGTCGCTGTACTCGCGTTTCGCGGCGACACATCTGGACAAGAGGCCCTTGCGGCGAGGATCCGTCGAGTGAACATCTGGGAGTTGTTCGGGGAGCATCTGGGAATTATTCGGGCAGTGGCGCCTGCGGCACTTTCTGGGACCCTAGGGAGGAAGCAACGCATACCGAGGGGTGGGCCGAACATGGCAGACACAGTCTTGAAAGGGCCTTGAAGACGCCACAATCTGAAGGCTCCACGGGAGCGGGCGGACTGTCGCCGGAATCACACCGTGATCTCACATGGAAAATGTAATTTCCCCTCCGCGGCGACGGCGACCACAACGGCGGCGGCGACGGCAATTTCGATGGCGACGACGCCGATGGCGGCAGCGACGGAACCGGTTGCGGCGTCCTCGATCGTGCAGTTCGGCCCCGACAAGAGGGGCGTCATTTTGGCAAAGCTTCGCAGCACCTCCACCTCATACCCTGGACTCCCACGGGAGCGCGAAGTTATTCGCGCTTCGCGGTACTCGTTCCTTCTCCCCCTCCTCCTCCTCGTCCTCCTTTTCTCCCTTTGGGGGGGCGGCGCGAGAGCGCGAAGTTATTCGCGCTTCGCGGAGCGCTAAGCGCGAAGTTGGGAGCCCTAGTCTCAATGTGTTTGCGTAAGGGTGTCGGCGTTTCATTTGGAGCAGGACCTTCTGGAGTTGAATTGTCATGTCGATCTACGCTGGGCTGAAACGAGTGACGTGTGTTCGTGGAACCATTCTTGCCGGCATATTGTGCGCGTTGCCTCTTCTCCACAGTGTTGCACCGCTTCCAGGCTGTTTGTCACATCTTTGTCGCTCGTCGGTCGCCGTTGGCCCCGATTGTGTGATCTCCGTCTCTTCTTCTCTGACTGACTCCTCCTCCCCATCGTTGCCGCGTCCCCCCCCTCCCTCTCTGTCTCACTTCTCCCATGGAGGAGGCGAATACGGAGGCTGAAGAGAAGAAGAGGGAGGAGGAGGAGGAGGAGGAGGCAGGAGGAGGAGGAGGAGGAGGAGGGCAAGGCGGAAGAGAGGGCGGAGGCGGAGGCGAAGGAGGAGGAGGAGGAGGAGGAGGAGGAGGAGGAGGGAGGAGGAGGAGGGGACACCCTCTGACCGAGAAGAAGAGGCCGACCCGCTCATGCTGTCCGTCGCGGAGCTTGAGGGGCGCGTGCGGCAGCTGAGCCGGGAGACCGAGTACTTGCGAACCGAACTGGAGGGCGAGGGGGGCGGGGGTCAGGGGCAACGTGAGGGGGAAGCATCGACCCCCCGTCGCCCATTCATCGCCCATGCGGGCCCGATTTCCCGCCCCGCCCAGGAACCTGAGGCGTCGCTATCCATGGGCAATGTCAGGAGGATACGGTCAGCCCGCATGATGAGGACGAGCAACCTTCCAAGGTTGCCAATGCATCGTTCCCCTTGGGCCCATCCTTGGCCGCTTTCGTTGGCCGCGCCCCGCTCGCAAAGTGTCGGCATGGCCTTCCAAGGCCCTTTGCATCCTTACCGCGCATCCTTAGCATACGGGTTGACCGTAGGCTGAGGAGGGTACGCATCGACCCCCCATCGCCCATTCATCGCCGATAGGGACACGATTGCCCACCCCGCCCAGGAACCTGAGGTTTCGCTATCGAGGGAATATCGCAAATACAATGGCGATGTATCACCGATTCCAGGTCGATGTTTCTCCTTACGAACTGGTCACCCCCTATCGTTGCCCCTCAGGAGGACGGATCGAACAAGAATATCTGAATGCACATAAATTGTCGGAGGGCCGCGCAGGTTTCTGGAGTCGGCGCCAGGACACCCCCTGGCGGTGCCTCCGGCGCCGCTCCTGGCGCGCTTCGCGCGTCAGGGAGGGGGAGGGGGGTCCCAGCGCCGATCCAAGACATCCGCGCAGATGTCCAGAAACGAGATTGCGAAATGGCACACAGAGCGGACAGGAAAGAGGCGGGAACGAGATGAGAACGGTGGGTTGGCGAAACCAGAAAAGGAACGAGAGGAGGAAGGGGAGGAACAATAATTTGAGGGAGTTTCTGTGGAACTCACGTCATCCTCACCCCCGGCGCGAAGAGCACGAGTCCAGAGCGGCCTCCGGCACCGTTTCCGGACAGATCCGCTGGATCCGCTGGATCCGCTGGATCCGATGACGAATCCCAAACCGGCGCCCTCGCTTGAGACATCCTCACAAAACCGGCCCCTGGGGAGGTGCCCAGAGGAGCCCAGAGCGGCCTCCAGCACCGTTTCCGGACAGATCCGCTGGATCCGCTGGATCCGCTGGATCCGGTGACGAATCCCAAACCGGCGCCCTCGCTTGAGACATCCTCACAAAACCGGCCCCGGGGGAGGTGCCCAGAGGAGCCCAGAGCGGCCTCCGGCACCGTTTCCGGACAGATCCGTGGATCCGCTGGATCCGCTGGATCCGGTGACGAATCCCAAACCGGCGCCCTCGCTTGAGACATCCTCACAAAACCGGCCCCGGGGGAGGTGCCCAGAGGAGCCCAGAGCGGCCTCCGGCACCGTTTCCGGACTGGATCCGGTGGATCCGATCCGACGAATCCCAAACCGGCGCCCTCGCTTGAGACATCCTCACAAAACCGGCCCCGGGGGAGGTGCCCAGAGGAGCCCAGAGCGGCCTCCGGCACCGTTTCCGGACAGATCCGGCTGGATCCGCTGGATCCGGTGACGAATCCCAAACCGGCGCCCTCGCTTGAGACATCCTCACAAAACCGGCCCCGGGGGAGGTGCCCAGAGGAGCCCAGAGCGGCCTCCGGCACCGTTTCCGGACAGATCCGGTGGATCCGGTGACGAATCCCAAACCGGCGCCCTCGCTTGAGACATCCTCACAAAACCGGCCCCGGGGGAGGTGCCCAGAGGAGCCCAGAGCGGCCTCCGGCACCGTTTCCGGACAGAGATCCGCTGGATCCGCTGGATCCGGTGACGAATCCCAAACCGGCGCCCTCGCTTGAGACATCCTCACAAAACCGGCCCCGGGGGAGGTGCCCAGAGGAGCCCAGAGCGGCCTCCGGCACCGTTTCCGGACAGATCCGTGGATCCGCTGGATCCGGTGACGAATCCCAAACCGGCGCCCTCGCTTGAGACATCCTCACAAAACCGGCCCCGGGGGAGGTGCCCAGAGGAGCCCAGAGCGGCCTCCGGCACCGTTTCCGGCCGCTGGATCCGCTGGATCCGGTGACGAATCCCAAACCGGCGCCCTCGCTTGAGACATCCTCACAAAACCGGCCCCGGGGGAGGTGCCCATCTGGCGTAGCGACTTCGGTTTAGCAAAGTAGAGTGCCTTATCACACTTATAGATGTAGCTGTCTCAGATGCAAATGTACTTACCGAAGCCGCAACTATACTTACACGGTGTCCCTAACCATACTTACACAACAATTTATAATCGACATATAACCATCTTATAACTTTCATAACTTTCATAACTTCTTCAATTTCCATGCCCCTCCCCTCCCCTCCCCCCCTGTGGTTCGGTAGTGAGCCAGTAGGACGGCGAGAAGAAAGGAGGGGGGAAGGAGGAGGACAGCGATGCATTCGCTAACGCATTCCTGGGTATGAGCGATAAATTCGCTATGTGGTTCTCTGAGCGATCAATTCGCTGTGCAATTATCTGAGCGATCAATTCGCTATAAGCGATGAATTCGCTATGTGGTTCTCTGAGCGATCAATTCGCTGTGCAATTATCTGAGCGATCAATTCGCTATAAGCGATGAATTCGCTATGAGGCCCCTGCCCATGCCGCCCCCACTGCGCCATCATTCGAAGCCGTTTGCATACGCAAGCCCGCGCGTTTTTTTTTGGGTGGGTGGGGCCGCATAGCCATGGCTGCCCAGCGCTTGCGCGACCAAGTCGAGGCCGTCGGGCGATTGCTCGAGGCAGTGCAAGGGCAGCCCTGTTTCGATACGGTGGCGGCCGCGCAGGAAAGGATGCTCGTGCAGGCTTTCGGGAGCGCGAGGCTGCAGCCCACGCAGGTGACAACCCTCTCGTCTCTCGTCGCAGCGCAACCCTGGTCCGAGGTTTCCAAGGGGAGGCTGTTGGAGAAGCTCGGCAGCATCGTGGCTTCTGGCAGCGCCGTGGGTTTGCGAATGGCTCAGCAGGATTATGAGTGCATCTTCGGGTACCTGACAGCGGGCTCGTGGCACCAGTTGGCGCGGACCGACGTGCCCGAGGAAGCGAAGCTCAACGTGCTGGTTGATGTTGCGATTAGCTTAGGTCTTCGCAACCCGACCGAAGGCACGTATCAGATGTTGACGGCGATGTGGCGCATGGCCGTGGACGGAGCCGAGACCGCGAAGAATTTGGCGTGGGCTGCAAAGTACTCGTACCTCCAGCAGACCAAGCGCGTGTTCAAGCGCCAGGCTGCAGCTGAAATTGCGGCCCTCGTCGAGGGGAGGGGGACCTAGGAGAAGGGAGGGTGGGGGAGGAGGAGGAGGAGGGGGAGGAGGAGGAGGAGGCAGTTTCCCCTGGCCGCAATTTCACCCACGAAGGTTTCGAGGCTTCCTGCGCCCCCCGTTCGGCTGACCGAGCTGCCTACGCCCCCCTCGACGTTCTGCGAGGACCACCCTGGCTTCTTCAAGCAAGTGTATGGCGACGAGTTGCCAGCTGCATGCCCCGCGCCAGAAGCCGCGATTCGCTCCGTCCAGGCTACGTACCCATGCCGCAACACAAAGCAGCAGGCCACGGGGGCGCAGATGATGAGCGCCTCGGCGTCGCAGCCCGACGTTTTGCAGATGATGCAGCTCATGTTCGATAACTTGCG